GTTAGTTCAAAGATTTTAATTTAACAAGGATGAATTGAGAGTTGTTTGTAAAATAAAGGTAATGTAAGGTACATAGAGGGTGGGTAGGGGTTGGGTACACCTTTAAAAAAAAATAATTTTATTATTTTTTTAACCTCCACCTACCCCGCCACCATTTTCTGTCAAAGGTAATGAACTCCTTGGACCCTCCCCTAACTTTTCCCCCTTGCCAGAACAACGATCCGTTATCTAGACAATTCCTACCAAGTTACCAATTTATCCTTATGCTAAATTAAAAAAAAATGACATGCACTCTATGTATCTCTACGTTGTTACTTCCAGCTTATACCATTCTTTTTTGGGGTTGTTCTAGGTCAGCCCTACCCCCTTCACTTATTACTACCCCCGTCCAAGCGATCGTCTTATTATCTAAACTTCTAGATATTTACCATTTTAATTTTAATTAACTTTAATTGTTTGTTACAATATCTTGAAAAGGCGAAGAATGGCATTTTATTACGAATTGATTTAAGATACGACAAAATTGAAGAGTTTTTGCGATTTATCTTAAATTATGCTCATTAGACATATGTAAATTACAATGAAATTAATTATTACGCCAGTACTCATGCAGGATGTTATTTCCTTGTGAAATAATTTACTGCTTTGTAAAGTCAGACCTTGTTACGATTTTATTTTACGTTTGTGACATCAATTACAGATGGCGTGTTCGTAAAAATAAATAGTATCAGATAAGTGAATGTACTCCAGATTTGAAGCATGTTCCTTTAAAGGTAGTAAAAGTTGCATGTGGCATGCAAACCTAATCGTAGTAGATAAAAAATTAATAAATACAATGTATAAAACTGTGACAACGACCTTAATAAAAGGTATCTAATAATGAAAAAATAGAAATTAGTTGACAAAGGTGTGTCAATCTGTGGTAGCTTGTAACTATTTAGGTTTATCACTTTACTTTATCTAAAAAAAAGGATTAAACATCACAAATATCATCTGATAGGTCACGAAATTCGGCATCTAATTAATCTTTTTTAATTGGTCAACGGTAGAACTTTCAATTTAATTTTTAATCATCTTCATTAGTCTTCAAAACAAATTTTAGCATTTTCTACTACTCTCACGAAAAAGGATTGTTTTCGATACGACTACAATGCGATTATATGTATTATCAGCTAGTTAGTAAGTAAAACACTCCGTAATTTTGTTAGATATTTCTAACGCAAACTTTTATAACATTTACTGAAGTAATTAAGAAATTTGAGAAGCAATTAAACAAATATTGCGGAATTAATTATCCCTTGAAGCCTTTAAAATGTTATAGAATAGCAACGCATCCCCCTATATTTTACGTTCCTACCACTACATCTCTGTATAAAGAACATCGGTAATTTCATTCCAGTGTCTTCCTCAGTCAAAATAACTGTTTACGAGACGATGGAGCTCAAGTAATTAAGTACGGCGCGCAATGTTTACGTTTAATTTTCTATACTCGTCGACTGTTTCAGCAGATTGTAAACGTTAGATAGTGAAAAAGTAATTAATTTGAACAGTTTAAGATCCAATCTAAATTTGCCACTGATAAAGAGAATAACAAATGCTATAACAAATAAATGTTTCATTGTCTTCTCTAAATTTATTCGAAGGTCGAAGGGCGGACAACTCTGTTACGATTTTAACACTGTCCGTAAAATCCAATTATTTTAAAAAAAATCATTATATTAATATGTCGAAGTATGTCCAAGGCTTTTTCGGTTTTACAGAAAGAGGTTAATTGAACTTGTAATACTCAAAAGTTAATTCATCAAAAAGTTGTTGCATCGACGGGAAATTGAGCCCGGGGAAACTTCCAGAGGATTATAAACGGAACGTGGTAGTAACCATACCCAAAAAGAAAGGCGCGGATAGGTGCGAGACATTTAGAACAATTAAATAAATTTCCCATGCATCACAAATCTTAACTAGAATTGTACAGAGTAGGATGGAAAAAAGGGCGGAAGAATTATTAGGGGAAGATCAATTTGGGTTTAGAAGAAATAGAGGAACGAGAGAGGTCATTCTAGCTTTACGGGTAACAATAGAGAAAACGATAGAAAAAGGAAATAATGCGTACATGTGATTAGTAGATTTAGAAAAAGCTTTTGTTAATGTTAAATGGGACAAGATGTTAAATATACTTAAAAATGTAGGGATGAGTTACAAAGATAGATGAGTGATACTTAGTTTGTATAAAGAACAACAGGCAGTTATAGAGCTAGGGCTGCAACGTAGGGAAGTAAATATTAGGAGGGGAGTCAGACAGGGATGCACACTGTCACCGCTACTTTCTAATCTATACATCGAAGACGCTATCAACATCATTAAAGAAAGTACAACTGTAGGGATAGATATACAAGGGCAAAAGATTAGTATGTTTAGATTTGCAGATGATATAGCAGTATTAGCATCTAGCAAGGAGGACTTAGAGATAGCTTTAAACAAAATGGAAGCGGTACTGACAAAACAGTACTGTATGAAAATAAATAAAAGTAAACCTAAAATACTGGTATGCAAGGGAAGAAAAAATAGGGAAAGCGCGAATATAAGGATGAGACGAAAAATTAAAAGTGGCTGATTTTAGATATCTAGGAAGTCAGAACGGAAGTAGTAGTAGGGATATAAAGCAGAGGATAGCGCATGGTCGTGCCGCCTTTAATAAAAAGAAGTAACTTCTATGCTCGCGAGCGGTTAATTTAGAAAACTTATAAATATTTAAAAAACGGTTTAGCGTGTATTAATGTACACGCGTAAGAAGTGAAACTTTTTTAGATTATATATTGTAGTAGTATTTCTTTTATTTAACTATTGCATTAATTAATTACTAAGCACCAGAAAAATACAACTTTATTTCGAGCGGACGAATGCGGAATATTGTTTTGGTTTTGTTAAAAACTTTTACGCTTGCACCACACTGCAGAGAGGAATTACAAAATAAAACAAACAGAAACGCATTTGCAATACATATGCAGTAAATCGTAGGTGCAATCTGCTGACAATTTGTCGAATTGGCAATTTTCGGATTATTGGTTGCTACCAAGGCAAGCTTCTGAAGCCTGTTAAGACGACTCCTTTTGGACTTATCCACCAGGGGTCACACATGGCGCGTTACACAGTAACGTCACAGTTTTCGGTTTTGTGCCCTAGTAAATTTCCTTCCTACAGTTGATAAAGGTAAATTTTCTTTCTATCGTCGATAAAGAAGTTTCACTTCAAAAAAGAGAAAGAAGAAAAAGAAAATTAGTGTGACTAAATTACCAGTGCTAGATGTGCAATACGACTAAAACGGTGACTATCGCGCCTTAAAGAATGCTTCAGTGGTGCTATGTCTTGATCCCACATTTGCTGAAAACACACGTTTTACATCTGGCACAAAATAACAATCACATACTATTTAAATACAAATAACCTGATTTTTATAAGAAAAACAGCAAACTTTTGAAGCAATTAAGCAAAGCACATACTTAAACTATAAAAGCAAAGATACAAACTCCTCGATTTGAAATAATTTGATAAAAACTGGTAACAATAATATTGTTTTAAGGTTTTTGAAGTTTTGTAATTCTAATCAATATAAATAAATATGCAAACATATATCTCACCACGGTCTGGAAAAATGGATGAGCAAGTGCTTCTTTAATAGTAATCCTGTGATTGGGGTCTACAACTAGTAGTTTTCTAATTAAGTCTTTTGGCGCTTCTGCAATTAAGAATTTCCAGTTGTTTAAGTTAAATTTGAAATATCAATTTACTCAAACTACAATTACCAGAAATATCAGCCCATTCAGGAGATGAAAATGAATACTTTCCTTCCATTATATTTCTCAACATGATCATTTGTTTACGATGCCAAAAGGGTGGACATCCTACCAATCTTTTATTTTAAGAAACAAATGTCATAAAAAATAAATAAATAAACAAGAAGAAGACTGTAAGTAATACATAATGTAAGTTACTTACAGGGTATACATGATTACACCACAGGCCCATCTGCAATTAAAGCATGTTCTTACTTTTACATTAAATTACTAATAGCATCTTACATATCAACTTGGAATGAATAACCGGGTGCATCTTCCATCATACTGCAACGTAATGTTTCTGGTGCCAAATAACCAGGGGTTCCACATAAATCTGTAAATCTTTTTCTTGAAAATAATTTCTCTTTTGCAAACATTACAATGCCAAGATAATATAGGTAGAAGGCAAATTAACTTACCATATAAAACTTCACCTGGATCGAGTTTTCTTGCAAAGCCAAAATCCGTTATCTTAACATTCAAATTG